TTCGCTGATACGCTCGTGCTCCAAGATGGGGGTGGTACCTGCAAAAGAGACTCCGATACTAAAGTTAGTGTTTGTGGGAATATGAGTCTCGTATATGTAATGCACGTACCTTAGTGTGAATTAGGGTTGCTATGGGCCTTGGGCCCGAGATAAGATATGATAAGATTAGATAGCAGATCTCGTCGGGAGCGAGATCTCTTGAGATCAGTTGTAATCTGCTCAAATGCCGAGCTGACGTCGCGTAACGTGTGCCCGAGGTCATCTTGTGGACCCATGATTTACTTCTTAGGTTTTGACAATAAGATAAGATTTACTAAAGTGACGCGATTGTATATATAACTGGTTTTTCAAAAATTAAAAACTATGTATTATAATATATCCAATTGAAGCCTTACACCGACGTCAAGTAGAAAATTTTGGCATAACTGATGCACACAGATAATTAAACAAAGACCCAAAATACGTGTAACTGCTGCATACAACATGTAATATATATTTGATATCTCATGCAAATCTTTGAAAGGATAATAATGTTTCTAATCTTTTATAGAAGAATCTTGAATCTTGATGCAAGAATATTCTTAATTTCACAAGTATCACAACTTACACAGTATCTTTATCCAAACAATCTCAAATGGTTTTAGATAATCGGTGAAATAGTAGCAATGCAAACAAAAATCTTGCAAGATCATCACGTTCTTTTTATTGCACGTGACTAAATCCTTGTGTTATTATATACATAGATTATAATATGTATTAAATACTTATTACTTTTTATAATATTTGGGCTGAGCAATGGTACTATTAAACGTACGTAGACAATAGTACTTCTTAGGGCTAGTATTCTAACAATAGTAGAAAATAATATAATTTGCAATCCAACGATGATGTCAATGAAAGATTTATTTTATTTTTTATGCATAATACATTGTTTAAGAAGTAATCAGTGAACAAATTGGGTAGGTGTTCAATGTGAATTTGTATTAGAGAACTCTATTATTAAGTTAATATGGACATTCAGGTCACCATCAGGATAGTCTTTGGTCAAAGATTTGACATACGTACATCATATCCCAAAATTGAAATTTCACCTTAACTTCTTCTCATTGACTTAGTTTGGTCTAATATATTGAAACTATTTTTGAAAACTTGAGAAATTTTAAAAGCAATTACTGGCGTTCATTAAAAGAATGTTGCTAACTCAATTGCTATTTTGACTTAAACATATTAAATTTGATATTTATTGATTATTGGTATATGTTCTTTAATTATTATGATAAAAATTTGTCATTTTAGAGAGTGAATTTGATTTTAGCTTAATTTTACAAAATCAATTTTTATGTACTTAATTAACTTATATATATATATATATAAGTTTTAGTCTCTAAAATATTGAAAATTATTTTAGTCTCAAATTTAAAATTTATTTTCTTTTGTCTATATAATTTCAAAAAATATATATATTATTCTACTCTCTCAAAACCACTAATAGCGTAATTAAATAGATAAATTAAAATAATAATTTTTAATATTTTAAAGACTAAAAATATAAATTTTAAATTTGAGAGAATAAAAAATAAAGAGAAAAAATAAAATAAATTTTTTTAAATTATAAGAATTAAAAATAAAAATTTAAATTTAAGAAATAAAAAATATATATATCCTAAACTTAATAAACTAAAAACATATTTAAATTTTATCTTAACATTATTTATTTGATGTGAAACTTAAAATATTCCTAATAATTATTTTTGCATCCAATGTTATTAAGCTTGATAATAATATATAGTGAGTAGTCTTTTTAATGGATTTAGGATAGCTTCATGAAATTTTTTATTTTTTTCCAATATGTCCATCAAGGCTCGCAGCATGCCCTAGGTTTAAAATGGAAAGATCTTCTCTTAAAAAATGGTCTCACCTAAGTTTCTTATTAAAAAATGGCTTGACCAAAAAATAGTGTTTCCTTTAATTAAACGCCAAAAACAAAAATTGCCTCATACACATTGGATTTAAACTTTTGCTAATACAACACGATATGTGAAAGGAGAAAGCCTTCACTAGGATGAAAATAATTATTAGTGGTTCAGCTTCTATATCTTTTCTTTTTGTGTTTCATTACTTGAGCCCACCATTCTTGTTATCCACTAAACAACATTATTTAAGTCACTTGGATTGGTTTAACACCGTGTCAACTACATCAACAAAAGTCTAATGTTCAGCCAATTGTATTGTATATTTGTATAGCTCAATTATTGAGAGCAGAAAAGACAAATTAATGAAAAGGGTGTCTTTATGCAATTGCCACTTCTTAAAGCACTTGGAATAAATTAATCAAGATTCTAAGAGGAAGAATACAAATTATCCCATGAAGATGGCAAATTCAACCAATACCAGTGCCCAAATCTCACACCAAAGGCTTACGCTACTATATACTCAGAAGTATCTTTTTCATATATTACATTTTGAAGAGAGATCACAAAACAAAGAAAAATGAAAAACAACATTGGCTACAAGAAAAACTTGTAAAATATGTACATTTATTAGTGGCCAGAACTTAATCTAACATCAACAATTATGACAAATTATTGGATAGTCTCAAACCACCCTGTGTGTCTATAGTCACATGGTACATATCTGTTCAATTAATGACAAAAATTAACAAAACTCGACTATGTATCATGTAAAAATTAGTCAGATGATGGTGATTTCAGACCATACAATAATTTCTCTTGATTAGTTGAAGACATGGAACAAGTTTGCACTAAGAACTTCCACCAATGGATAAAACTTCTTAACTTTCTTTTCTTTTCCTTTTGGCAAATGTTATCTTACAATGGATGCAACTGTGTGAGCCCAGAACCTAAGATTGTCCTTCATGTCAATTTCATTACCCCTAACAGGTACCCTCCAATCCATCAATGGATCATTTCCTGTCCCCCTTTGGTCCAAAACATCCCAAGCCTCAGACAAATAAGGCTTATCAAAAGCCACACTTTCATAATCATCACCTTTCCCTTCAACTTCTTCTCCTCTTCCAAGCCTTTGCAAGCCAGGAATCAAAGAAACCAATCTTGAGTCCTTGTCCTCCTCAGAGAACACAAACCCCAAATCCATAAACCCTTTAAGCTCCTTAAACTCAAGCTCTGATAGGCTCCTAGTAGTTCTCCCTTTCCTCACCCTTCTTCTTCCATGACCAAAACCTCTTTCTTTTCTCTCAATTTTTATTTCTTCTCTTTTTTCACAAGAGAATTCTCTGATCTCCCTCTCAGAAGGGATTGTCCTAAGCCTTTGTGGGGTGAGGACAGAATTTGGTGATGGGGAATCTAACAAAACACATGTTGTGGAATCCAAGTTTTGGTCACTATAGGACCTAACTTCAAGGGTTGGAGTTGGAACTAGCACAAACTTTGCATCATCAAGAGGAATCACTTTTTCCAAATTGTTGTGAGAGTCTTGATTTGAAGGGGTTTGGTTGTTGTTGCGATTGGTGAGAATTGAAGTCTCAAACCAGAAGGAATCAAGCAATCTAAGAACTTGTTCTGCAGCCATTGCTGTGTCACAAAATGAATGGCTTAAATTGAAATTGGATTCTACTAAGATATGATGAGAAGAAGGCTTTAGAGATAAGATGAGAACGTGTCCATATATATGTGATGATTATTTATTTATATGGGGAGTGGCATTACTCAATTGCCACTGGCTCTATGTGCCTTTGTTTTATTCCCGGTTTATTCGAATATGCAATTTGGGAAATTTCAGGAAGCTTTCTTGTTCTGTTGTCGGGTTCTGAGAGAATGATGAAATTAATATCTCAACTTATGATTGTGAAATGCAGGGTGTATTAAATGTTTAATAGTGAATCGTACAGGGTTGAAAATCTTGACGTTGAGAATTAAATGTTAGAAGTTTCTAGTAAAAGAAAAAATTGTGAGCATGACCACTTTAATTCTCATGATCTGTTAAATTAGTTTTTTAAATTAATAATATGATTTATGAAATTATAAATTGTGAATTAATTTATTCTTTTAAATTGTACCAACATTCAAATTTTAAAATATCAACTTGGATTGATGTAAATGATAAAAGATTCATGTGAATTAATTAAGTGGTCATAATCCAATTTTAACTTTAGTAAATATAAAAAATTCAAATTAAAAGAAGATATTTATCTATTTGATGTTTGTCAAATTTTTGAAAAAAATTATCTTTGTGTTCAGCGAAAAATATTTTTCATTAATGAAAAAAAAAATAGAATCTAAAATAACTACTAAAATAAATACTTTACCAAAAATATTATTATTTTTTAAAACAAAATATTAGATTCTGAAATAAATAAAATGATAAAATACTTCCTAAAATTATAAATTATCAATTAATTCAGTTTCTTAAAAAATTGTAATAGTTAGTCAAATTAATTCTAAATTTAGAAAAATTTAATTTTATTCTATGTCCAACTTTCATAATTCTGCACACTATCCTCGTAAAATTTTTATTTTCTCTCACATTTTGACGGTCTAAACTTACATATTTTATCTTAACATTAGTTGACTATGGATGGATTCAAAATTTCTCATATGTTATCCTAAGATACCGTGAAATCTATAGAAAAAGAGTTAATCACTTATACACTGTCAGTATAAAAAAAATTTATACTGAGAACTAATTATATCTCTTAATTATGCCATCACTGTAAACACATTTACTTTTAACAGTGACATGATATAATTAAAAGATATAATTAGTTGCCAATATAAAAAAACTTTATACTGACACTGTATAGGTGATTAAATCTTAGAAAAAATGTTAAAAGTATTAAAAAGTAAGGCACTTCATGACCATTTTCTTCTTACAACTGTAACGCCTGATTTAAATAATAATAATTATATATTTTCTTATAACATATTCTCGCAATTATATCATTAATAATATATATTTATTTTAATGAAGATAAAAATAAAGAAAAAAAAATATTTTGTACATGACATATCGTTCTAAAATATTTAGAATAACGTGCTATTTTACACATTATTTCTTTCTTCCACTTCTATTATAATATTTACATTGATAGTGAAAAGAAAATTACAATTGAAATAATATGGTTGACAAATAAAATTATAACAAATCCATCAAATAGTCTCCATATTCCAATTTCTCCCAAGTAGGACAGCGATAATAACAACTGCAAAATGTATTTAATTTATAAAAACAAAGAAAAGAAAGGAGTAAGAACAATATCCAATAAATATAATAACTCAAAAGAATATACAGAATTATTTATAATCAATATTAAACACATATATATATATATATAAATATATATACAGATCATATATTATATTTTCATGATACAATAAAATTTGAATTATACTTGTAGTGACTAGTCAGGATAAATGAGCATCATCATAATATCAACCAACAAAAGAATATTTCACCTTAACCAATAAGAGGATATGTCACCTTCATTTCTTACTCATTTAAATCCCCAAGGTCAAACCTCCAGCTACAAATAATTCAAACTTTATCTTCTATGGCCATAGGGTAATATTTACCTTTAAAATGAGTCAAAGATATTTTAACAAAATTATATTATAATCAATCATAAAAATAATCACGCTAAATAAATTTGAGAATTTATCATTATTTAAGCTTTAATTAAATAACATATACGTAAGTAAAATATATTAAGAACACCAATTAATTAAATGACAATGATAATTATTATAGAATAATTAAACAATATAAAATATAAGCACCTTAACAATTATTATGGATAAAAATAATCATAGATTAAGTAAATAAATGAGGTTAGGGACACCCCACTGAATAAATACACATAAATAAATAAACATAATAGTAGATAAAATTTTAAAGAGATAAGGTTCTCCTCCCCCTTACCTGGATAAACAGGAGCTAAAACTTGAGCAGAACCTCCTCCTCTAGATTCATTCTTTCTTTCCCTCTCTATCTTTCTTTCTTTCTTTCCCTCTCTCTCTCTCTCTCTAAAATTTTCACTTCTCACTCAGTTATAATTTTTTCACTCCCTATGCCCCTATTTATAGGCATCCTGGCTCACCCGGAACGACCCGTACTGAATTCGGAACGGCCCGTTCCGGTGCCTTCAAATATAGGCAAATTTTTCAACTGGAACGGCCCGTTCTAAAATCGGAATGACCCGTTTCCAAAAAGCAGAACGGCTCATTCTGGGGTCCATGTTAACACACCTTGACTATAGCTGGAATGCCCCTTTTCTAACTAACCTTTTTAGGCATTTTTAGAATTCTGGAACGGCCCGTTTCCCTTTGGGAACGGCCTGTTCTGGAGAAATCAAAATGGGCCTTTTAATTATTTTGGAACGGCCCGTTCCACTTTTGGAACGGCCCGTTCTGGGCCAACAAACAGAAGCCTTTTTAAAAATTTGGAATGACCCATTCCACTTTTGGAACGGCCCGTTCTGAGCCCAAAATATTATTTTATTATTTTTAATTTTAAAATCCCTTTAATAATCCCCATAAATATTTAAAATACATAATAATCATTTATTAAAATCTCTAAAATATTCTATATAAAAGGAACCCTTTTTATTAATTAATAATTATAGGAAAATAATTTTCATAAATATAATAATTAACCATTGTATAAATTTTGGGATGTTACAATTCTCCCCTCCTTTTAAAAATTTCGTCCCCGAAATTTTCTTAAAAATAGAAATGGGTATGCTCTTCGCATCTTGCTTTCAATTTCTCATATAACCTCAATACCTTATTGATGTACAACTTTATCAATCTCTCCAAGGAATGTCTAATATTAATAAGTACAAGGTGAACAAACGAACCTATCCATTATAATCCAAATAAGATCAAATTTCTTAAGCATATCTGACATAACTACAACTAAGCTTATAGATACAGAATCTTATTTCCAAATTAGGACATCTAAAGATTGTAAAAATATTCAAAGACTCTAGTGTTCCACCTTTGACTTTTGGCATACTATATACAAGTACATAAATCCTTATACTTCTTTTTTCACCGTAGGCCACCAGACTTTCACTGTGTCACTCTGATACATTTTAGTAGCTAAGAGTACTCTTATGTCCTTTCTCTAAGATCATCTTTCTTAATTTGAAATTACTAGGCACATAGATTCTATCCTTGAATCTCAAAACACCATCAACTTCCAAGTGTAAAGGGTTATCTATACCTCTACCAATCTTTTCCACTTGGCTTACTAAGAAAGGATTTAACTCCTGGGTCCTTTAATCAAATCCATTAATCTATTAGTCCTTTCAATATACACAATTCAATGCTCCTAAGGGTGAGCTTACACATCACGCTTAAGTTTCTAACTTCCTCAATCAAATTCAACCCTTACATTATCAAAAATGATAGATGAACGATCATCCTACTTAAGACATTTGTCATCATATTACTTTAATTTTTATGACCCTCTCCAAGGATCAACTACTTAAGCGTAAGTTTACTAGGTACGTATAATCAATCTCTAAGTCTTACAACCCTATCTATACCCAAGGAAACCTCATATCTACTACCTTGTCTTATGGTCTCATGTCTTGCCATCAAAATGAATCATCTAATTATGTTTCTCTAATCTCCTTTAATAGTCCATTCTTTACTCGAGTCATACTTAGTTTCACACTACTAGAAGTAATTTCACAAGTCAATCTTAAATTCTTAATGTGAGCTAAAAGATACATCCCTTTAACTATAAGGGGATATATATATATATAGGTTTCCTACTTAAAGTATCGACCACCACATTGACTTTTTTCAAATAACAATTAAAATTAAAATCTTAATCCTTAACAGTTTCCAACTATCTCTTTTGTCTCATATTCAACTCCTTTGGATCAAACAGATATGTAAGATCCTTATGATCCCTAAATATTTCAAACTTAGAATCATACCAGTAATGTCTCCAAAATCTTAACTGTAAATATTAGAATCTCTAATTCAAGGTTATGGGTAAGGTAATTTTTCTCATGAATTTTTCATACCTAAATGCCTAGAAATATAAGCTACTACCATTCCTTCTTGCATCAACCATCCACTCAAACCTATCTTCGAAGCATCACATAACACTTACTAGAGTTCGGTAATCTTAACACTAGTCAATCTTTCCTTAAGAGTTTGAAAATTACTCTCACACTTACTATCCCAAAAAGGCAACTATCTATTCCTAGTCAATCCAGTCAAAGGTAATGTTATCTTAGAAATTTCCTTAATAAATCTCCTATATTAATAAATTAATGCAAGAAAACTCTTAACCTCACTAATTGACTTATGTACCCACAACTTCTACCATAGATAGATCTACATTATATCTCCACTGGAAATTACAAAACCTAGAAAATTCACTTCATATAATAAAAATTCATACTTAGATAACTTAACATAAAGCTGTCTTGAATATATTTTCATTCTCATCTCCAATATGATGATATCACATCCTAAAATCAGTCTCACTAAACACCCCAATGTTCATTAATTGATCCCTAAGGTCATCACATCAACATACATGCATATCAAATCATATTAGAATACCTACTTTAAACCTTCATATATACCATCCTTACGCTTGTATGAATCAATTTCTGTTTACTCCGTATAGCCTGTACATGAACAACCTTTTTCCACATAAC